AGTTAATAGCAGTATCTACTGTAAAGGTTTGCTATGAGGATTAGGTAACAATATTTGTAAACTAGTATCACTGCCTGACACATGGTAAGTATCATGTAAGTGTTTGCTAAAAAAATTTTAAAACATTTGATTGATTATCCTGTTGATTCTTAGTAATATTACATATGAGTCACATGATCAAAATTGTCAATAATTTCCTTCTCTGTTCTCCATTACTGAAGTTGTTGTTGAAATGCTATCTTACCTCAAACTAGAATAACTTTCATTACGTTTTACGCATTTGTCATACTCTACAGTCATTTAAAAAGAGAATAAAAAATAAAACTCTATAGCAATTATAGAGATATATCTGTGCAAGGACACACATATACTTTGTTACATTGTTTGTAATGGGGAAATACTGCAAACAAATGTGCATGTCTATCAGTGGAAGACTGGATAGCCTGCAGCATACTCATAAAATGTAATCATTTACAACATTTAAAATAAATGAATTAGCTGTACATGAAACAATAAGAGTACATTTATAAAACAGTGTTAAGCAGGAAGAACCCTGAAGAATGTATATAGTATATATAGTAAAACTTCATGTAAAGTTTAAAAACACACCAAAGAAAGTTATCTATCTTGAATACATACATAGATAGAAAATGTGTAACAAAAACAGGAACATGAAGGATACACAGCAATATCAAAATGGTGATTTGAGGAAAGAGGGGCAGAAATGGAATCTAACAGAGGCAAAGAGGGGAGTTCAATTTCATCTGTGATATTTTCTTTCTCAACAAAAAGAAACGATATGAAAGAAATACAGCAAAATGTTAACATTTATTAAATCAGGGTGGTGGGTATTATGTCACATTATTCTGTAATCTTTTTATTTATATTTTCACATGTTCATAATAATAATAATAAAAAGAATGCAATTAAATACAAAACCATAATTATAAAGTTTTCACTCATGTATTTTATTACATCTCCCAGTTAATTTTTAAAAGGGGAGGGGAGATTTCAAAACATTAACATGTCACCAATTGTGCTGGTGTTTTTTATGGATGGCCATATTTCATGAAGTCTGGGCAGCACTTCGGCACAGAGGCTCTAAGGAATGTATTTTCATTATTCTAGAAAGAGTTTTAATGGTCTACTGTACATCAGTGTTAATGGGAGTCATGTAGATAAATCCCCAAGCATTCCTTTTAACAGTTGCATTTTTGCTCAGCCAAAAATAATCTCAGCACTTTTTTGCTTTCCTGGATGATTTTGCTAAGCAAGCGTGTTGTATATTTTCAAGTACTTCAAATGAAACAATATGGAAGCATTTATTTAGGGTGCTATACTTTGCAACTTCTTCAGCACAACAGTAAAGCAACTAATCATTCCCTCGAATCTATGCAATGAATTACACTTTGAATGTGCTATTGATTGGTGGAACAAACAGTATCATAGCCCATGTTTTCAATGCTGTGCATTGAGATGTGGCTGGTGTGCTCTGAGTTTGACAATTCTGTGTTCATTTTGTCAATTAAGTGAGATAGTGCCCGTGACTTTAGAATTGCAGCTTTGAGGTTAAATATACCATCGACCTTTTTATGTCTCATGTACAGTGTATTATGCGTAAAATGTTCACCATATTAATTTTGTTAGGTGTTGTGTACATTCTAACCAGAAAAACAATTTTTAGTGGCTGGAACATGAATGTTTATAATAGGTATATTTTGAGGACCTCAATTTCAATGGTATTTAACATTGCTGAGATTATTAAACATGAAATTTATTAATCATTCTATATTATTTATTAACTGCCTGTTATGCACTGTTGGTAGAGAAAAAGTGATGACCAAGGCCATGCCACTCTCTTCAAATTGTTAATAATCTAATGAGTAATAGAGTCAAGAAAATAGGTAACTATAAGGCAGGGAGGGGAATCCTATATGTGGGGTAAGCAAACAATGTTGGGGGAGCACATAGCAGGAACACTCAGCCCAGTCTAAGGTGGAAGAAGCATCAAGGAAGGCTTCCTGGTAGAAATGTATATGCTGATTCTTCATGTGGACACTGGAAGAAGAATCGTCCAAGCAGAGGAAACAGCACATAGAAAGGCTCAGAGACATGAGAAAACATGCTTTGAGCTAAATGTTCAGGTCATTTTTTTGGTATGAAGAGACGTTACTACTCTGTGGCTATATCTCTTTGGAATTCCTAGCCCAAGTCATGCTGAGGATGGCCATTGGACATCAACCATATGCAAGTCCTAGATCTGATCCTCAGCTCAATGTCCAGGCCCCACCCAAGACCAATTAAATCAGAATTTCTAGGGGTTGGTCCCAGGCATTGGGATTTTTCTTAAAAGCTCTCCAGCTGATGTGAATATGCAGTCAGGTGGAGAATCACTAATTTACAAAATAAATCCTGACATGTGTGTTGATTTATCAGATGAGTAGACAAGTAAGAGAGGCAGAGGTGCTGTGCAAGGACATTGCCAAAATGAGCTGGCGTGAAGAAATGACCTGGGGGATTACATCTGCCAGCCGTGTGTGAGAAGAGTGACTCATATTCTAGCACTGGCCTTTGACGTGTTCAGATAGATAGAATTTCACACTTTTTCCAATTTATTAATTTATTAATTCCAAAAACACTTAGCTAGAGCTAGCTGGTGAGCTCACTTGGGAGAGCACAGGGCTGATAACACTAAATCAAGGGTTCAGCCAGCTGCCAAAAACAAAAAAAGCTAACCAACCAACCAACGAAATAAAAACACTTAGCTGATCCTTGCTACATATCTGTACGCTAGATGCTGTGGTTACATGTATGAGTAAGACATTGAGTCTACCATCCAAAACTCTCAGTCCAGTGAAGAGACAATTTCTAGTCACGATCATCTGAAAGGATCATACATAGCTGGGTACGAGTTGCCCAACTGGGAGTAGGGTTGGTAAAAGTCCAGACAAGAGCTATATTTTGAAGCATGAATAGGAGTTAGCAAGATGAGGAGTGCAGTTCACTGAGACAGAAAGACACTGAGTGTGCTTTGAGTATAGGCTGTGAAAAGTGTGGCATCAAAAACTAAGCTAGAAAACTGGTTGGCCCAAAGGTCAAGAGATCCTTCCCTCCTTGTTGCCAACTAGCCACAAACCATTCTTTGACCATCTCTATGTAGCTGGAAATCTTAGTGTTCGAAAGCCTTCTTAAGGTAGTAAAGACCACCGTATGTGATGGTCATTGGATTAAGGCCAAAGGTAGAAATCAGTAGTTCACAATTCTAAGAGGGGCCCAGAGTCAGGTGAGGATGCAGATTCTGTTGAGGCCCTTGAGGAGCAACTAAAGGACAGCTATAGTACTAAAGGCATGTGGCACAAAGTAGGCAGTCTCTAAGCTGGCCTACAATAATCCCTGCCTCCTAGTACTTACACCCTTATGAATTCTCTCCATTTCAGTGTGGGCTGGACTTACTGACTCTTTTCTAGAGAATAGAATAGGGTAGAAGTGACATTTTAGAGAATAGGTTTTTAAAAAGACTGTGGCTTCCATCTTTGTTCTCTTTCTTGTTCATCCTGGGGTAAACCACCTGCCATGTTTTGAGCCAGTGTTGTAGAAGGACCCTTGTGGTTAGGGACCAAACTCCACCAACAGCCATGTGAGTGAGTTTGGAAGCAGATCCCTCCCTAGTCAACCCTTCAGATGAGACTGCATCCCTGGCTGACAGTTTGGCTGCACCTTATTGGGAGGCCTTGAGCCAGAGACATTCAGTTAAGCTATACCCAGATTCTTGATCCACAAAAACTGTGAGATAAATAAATATTTAGATAAATAAATATAATAAATATTTCTTGTTTTAAATAGCTATGTTTTGGGATAATTTGTTATGCAGCAATAAATACTATATGTAGTCACCATTCACTCAGATTTTCTGCATGTTCCACATCCTCTCTGAAGACCTCACAGGTTGACTACAGAGAGCTACTATTGTTAATAATAATGATTGCCCCACCTGGAGAAATAAGGTTTACTTCATGCCTGAAATATATGTGAAAATAAAGATGAAGAACTAAAGGATGCAAATTCTATTCTGATGCTACCAGGCTAAAAAGCAAGATAGTGAAGATTAGATCTGTTGGCAGCATTAAGAGTGTGGTGAAATGGCACTTTTTTCCATCTGAGAGTGAGCCCCCAACTTCCTCCCTCTCCTCATCACCCCCACACCACCAGTGTGTGCAATGTTCACAGCTGATTATGAAATCAGGATAGCATCCTGAAGTCTTGCCAGAGACCTACTGCCAAGCATAAGCCTTTTTCCATTTGGCAGCATTCTTTCCATTGTATCTATTTTACCACAATCCTGAAATTTGTCATGATTTGGAATTTATGTGTTTATGCAGCCTTTCTTGTACACGTTTCCTTTTATTTTCACATCATGTGTTTGTTTTTCTTTCATATATTCATGATAAAATGTTTTGCATGGTGAGCTAATAACCTGCCCAGTCTTACTCTGGCATAGAAACTAATTCAAAGAGCCAAAATCTACAATATCAATCATTTGCTAAGTAAAGACATGTGAATCTCTGATACATCAATTCATTTATTTAAATATTTGGTAAGTTTATGGTAGAAAATATAATTCTGCAACATTTTAGATTCCTAAATACAGTCATGCACTGCAGAACAATGTTTTGGTCAATGATGAATTGCATATACAATGGTGGTCCAATAATATTATGATGGAGCTGAATAATTCCTGTTGCCTAGAGATGCTGTAGCCATGGTAACATCATAGTGCGATCTATTACTCATGTAGGAGCAACTGGCTATACCATATGGCCTAGGCATGTGTAGGCTATACTATCAACATTTGTGTAAGTACGTTCTATGATGTTCTCACAATGACAAAATCACCTATCAACCCATTTCTCAGAACGTATCCCCATTGTTAAGTGATGTAGGACTATATACAGTTTATTATGTATTGAGAACCTAATCCATTTCTTAACTTTGTAACACAGGAGAAGAAAACCTCCTGGCAATTTTACGACGAAGATGGTGGAAGTATATGATCCTGGGACTGATAGACCTGGAAGCAAATTACCTGGTGGTCAAGGCTTACCAGTACACAACTCTGACCAGTATCCAGGTACCAATGGCTCTCCTTCATTTCTCGACTTCCTCAATTTCCAGATGTAGCTTACTTTTGGCTTATTTCTTGAGAATCTGTAGACTACTCTGTAAATTTAGCAACAAGAGGGAAATTGGTTGCATAAAAATTTACTGGAACTGTGTTTATATGTCCTGTTAATTTTTCTTAATTCACGTGTAATTGGACCTCTTTTTCCTCTTTGTTCTGAATACACGACAATTACCATCAGCAATGTAGGAAAATAATTTGTGGCTTTGAATGCTGCCAACTAATCTTATGTCAGCAGGAGAATTATTAATAAGAAAGAAAATAAATCTATTTTAATTACACTTACAACTTTTAGAATGTTGATAGACTTTGATTAAGTAACTCAACTGCCTAATAATCTTTTCTTTTAGTGTTTTTTAATGTGAAGAATTTGCAACTTGAAGGGACAGGATTTTTCCTAAAGGAACAAGGATTAAGTCCTAAAATGTGTTACGTGTGAAGATAGCTTCAGTGTTTCTTCCTCTCCTACCCTTTCTCTCTCTCTCTCTCTCTGTCTCTTTATTCCTCACACACATGAACACAGGGATACACACACACTCACAATTGCAAGTTTACCTTAGCTTTTCACAATTTTTGCCAGACACTTTACATACCTCATTACACTGTAAATGATAAGCTTGACTATTTTTGTTTCACCCTCATTTCTCTTTGTATGGTAATATTATGAATTTCATAGCCATTCTGAAGCTCCAGGATAAAAGCAGAACAAAACATTGTTCACATATTAGATTTAGCTTAGGTTTGATACTTCAACAAAATTTCTGTCATTCTGTTAATTTGCTTAGGAACAACAATAACAAAAATGGAGAAATGAGCAAACAAAGCACCTGAGTAGCTTTAGTTTACATAGACTGGATGGGAAGCAGTCTAAGCCTTATTTAGCTTTCCTATGATCTTATTTGCAAATGAACTTCAACGATGGCTTGAAATAAAAGTAATTAACAGTAGCCTTTTCCCCGGACCATTTCCATATACATTTTGTATTCCAAGAGCATTTATGGGATGGGTTCCTTAATGAAGATGCACATTGAAGCAGGTAGAAAACTGGTATGGGAGACCTGAGCCTACACTCCCAATTTAATTTTTAAAATTCTGTGGCTTTTGGGCTGATGTTGGATGAAATATAAGGAAATAGCCAGAAGCACTGTGAGGCCCCATCCCTTGCTCAGTAAGTTAACAATGATATTTCACTGGAATTGCTATTTTTCTGTCTTACTACAGAATTAAAATATTAAAATAAACATTTTCATAGAATGCAGCATAAACAGGGTACTAACCAAGGGACAGGGGAAGTAAAAAAGCAATTTGAGCTAACAGTTTTAGAACCATCTTGCCACCTACAACAAATAAACCCATTAACATTAAACACATGGTCAGAACAGAAGGCATTTGCTCTGCGAACCATGTCTGTACTGCTAGTTAGTAATTTAATTCTGTTTTCTCATTGTAAATTGGTGGAACTGACAAGCATCTCTAATAATTTTCCCTTGTTTCTATAAATATTAATTGAGCATATAATATGTGTTTTAATCATGTTGATCAATTAGGAAAATATACTCATATTTATTTAGTATCTGAGAAATGCACTAGTTTCTGCAGGTGATGTAAGAAAGCACATCAGCCTTGCTCTCCAGGAGCTTATGAACTGGTAAAGGGGATAAGAGGCACAGTTCAATGATAGTAAAGCCAAATATGGCAAGAGTACAGAAGCCTAGGGCCGGCCCAGTGGCGCACTGCTACAGTGCGCCGCTTGGGAGCGCGGCGGTGCTCCCGCCGAGGGTTCAGATCCCACATACAGACCGGCTGCTCACTGGCTGAGCGAGGTGCGGGCGCAACACCAAGGGTTGCGATCCCGTTGCCGGTCCCGGTCCGGTACGGGCGTGACACTGAGGGTTGCGATCCGTTGCCGGTCACGAAAAAAGACAAAAAGGAAAAAAAAAAAAAAAAAGAGTACAGAAGCCTAAATGCAACAATTTTCAAAGGCAGAGATGGTAGCTATTTGCAAAGTAAAGAAAGTGTCCATTCAAATCGGACTATGAAATTGGATAAGATGTGGAGAGGGTGAAATATGCGTGTAGCCTGGCACATATAATGAACAGCACGACAGAAGCCTGGGTGCGGAAAACCTGAGGAATATGACTGGAGAACAATTATTCCCATTCGATTCATACAGTTACATAAAAAAAAATTACTGAATACTTAAAATAAATGTTTTCAAGTGTCTTCAAGGACCTGTACTGGGTGATGAATACACTTGTAAGCAAAAATAGACACTATCTATATTCTCATGCACCTTCCAGACAGGTGGGAAAGCAGCTTTAATCAAACAACTAAACGAATGGATGGATGTATAATAATAAGCCAGGATAAGCACTCTAAAGGAAATCAACCCAGTTCTATGAGAATGTTTGTCAAAACAATCTGACTGAACTGAGGGGTTGGGGAAGATTTTCCTGAAAAACTGATGGTGGAGCTGAGATCTAACAGAGGAACAGAAGATTAGTTGGGAGGGAAAGAGATCCAGGCAAAAAAGACAACATGCTCAAGGCCAGATGGTGGAATGGACCCTGACAAGGAAGGCTGTGTCTGGGCAAGGAGACTGAAGAGTGGCACAAGATGGACTGAAGAAGGAGGTAGGGGTCCCACCCATGGGTCCTGACAGTGAGGTCAAGGGTGTGGGTCTTTAGGCTCAGTGCTGTGGGAAGCCACTGGAAGGTAATGTGACAAATTTGAGTTTCCAGGATGACTCTGGTTGTGGTGTGGAGCACAAACTGAAGCAATAAGTACTCATAAAGGAAGTCAGGAAGACAAAGCCCAAAGTGAAGCTGGGGCCATGTAGTGGGAGTCCCCAGTGCCGGGATGAACAGTGTGACTTAATTTTGTAGGTAAAATAGATCCCTGAAGGTTTCTGAGGAAATGAATGATGGTAGGGTGTGACCCAAGCACATTTGTCTTAACAAGAGATATTTCAGTAATGATAGGCAAAGTACCAAATACTCTTGTTTTCTGATTTTCTCAAAAAACGGAGATTTAGAGCAAAAAGACAAGAAGAGCCACTTTTTGCTTTATCCCCTCGCCTTTTCAGTTTATTCACCAAACTTGTGGTTAAATGTCACAAACGATACATGAAGCTTGAGAGCAAAATGATGTTGTTAAATGATTATCGGCTCACAGGAAATTACAAAATTATATAGAGTCCTTTGAACCCTTCACACAGCTTTCCCCCATGACAACATTTTATATGACTTTAGTACAATGTCAAAACCAGGATATTGACATTGATACAATATTGTTAACTAGACTACAGACCTTTTTCAGTTTTCATCCATTTTTACCTTCATTCGTGTGTGTGTGTGTGTGTGTGTGTGTGTGTGTGTGTGTGTGTGTGTGTGGTTCTATGCAGTTTGATCCCATGTGCAGGTTCATATAATCACCACCACAACCAGGACACAGAACTTTCCCATCACCACAATGGGACTTCCCCTGTGAGTTGCACCAACTTGTCACCCCATCCCTGTGGCAACCACGAATCTATTCTCCCTCCATATAATTTTGTCAGCTGGAGAATGCTATGTAAAATGAACTGTACAATATTTATCCTTTTGAGATTGGTGTGTTTTCATATCAATAGTCTGTTCCTTTCTATTGATGAGCAGCATTCCGTGGTATGGATACACAGGAGTTTGTTTAACCAATCACCTGCTGAACCACATTTGTGGTGTTCCCAGCTTTGGGCTGCTGTGAACATTTGTGTGCAGTTTCTTGTATCAACGAAAGTATTCATTTCTCTGGGATAAATGCTCAAAAGTTCAATTGCTGGGTCATATGGTAAGTGCATATTTAGTTTCAGCAACTGTCCAACTAATTTCCATAGTGATTATACCATTTTACATGTCACAGCAATGTATGAGAGATCTGGCTGTTCCCCATCCTCACCAGCATTTGGTGTTATTATTTTTTTTATTTTTGCCATTCTAAAAGGCACATAGTAATATTTCGTTGCAATTTTAATTTGCATTACCATAATGGCTAATAATGTTGAAGTTCTTTTGGAAAAGATATTTTTTAACTTTGCCTTTATAATCAAAAGCTAAAGAAAGTTAGTGGTAAAAAAAGATAATATTTACACAGGACAAATATGATGAAAGAGAGATATTGAAGTGAAGAAACCCAGCTGTTTTCTTTATCATAAAGTAAAAAGAGAGATGGTAACACCATCATGTTGGATTTATAAGGATTTTATTCCGAAGGCACATTTGTGGGTTTGGATCTCTTGACTTATAGAGAATGAATAGGTCGTGCCTGTGACTTTGAGATAGATTAGCAATGACACTTGGATGCATTTTAAAAGCTATGCTATTTTTATAACTGTGCTATATGAACCTTTTCAGTAGAAATATCAGCTTTACTACTTCATGCCCAGAGATTATTCATCTTTTTTCAGCCGTGTAGTACTAAAATGCAAACAGACTAAACTAGTATTTCTGTGAAATAAGATGAAAGCAGTTCTCTTCAAACATGATAAGTTGGTAATTAAAATTAACTCACATTGGAAACAATTTCCAGTACCCTTGCTAGCCATGCTGAAGGGTCTGTACATCTGACACATCCCCTCCTGCACACGTGCATATTTCAGGACTCTTCACATTCTTTAAGCAGTTTCCATCACGAGCAAAGGACAAGAACGTTAAGCCCTCCAATCCTAATTATTTTCCTTTCTGCCCCACTCCTCTGACTTGGGCATGTTAGTAGAGATTTATACAGAACAAATGGCAGCCTCCTCAATGTGCAGTATGACATCCAAACCTGAGACTAATTCTAAAAAGCATGTAAAACATACACACGCAACAATTCATGTCATTGCTTTACCCAGCTCTTGGGCCTTTCTGTGTCTGCTCTCTCTGAATTTTCAGTGGGCTCAGAATTAAGTTGTATCAGATACAAGGAAA